TTTCCCATTATCCGATCGATTTCAAATCAACATGGATTATTTTTTTCATCCAGTGTCACAATTCTAGGGAGCGTTTCGAAAAAATCGCGTCGATCGAAAAATAAGGTCCGCACTAATAAATATATATATATATATAAAATATTTTCTACAGAAAGTCTGCGTTTGTGAAAACTCTTAAAAAATGTAAAATCAAATAATCAACTATAATCAAATAAATAGTTAATTTGAAGTTAATTTGAAGCAATCATACAGAACATTTTAATTTTAATGTTTACTTTAAATGTATAATAAAATTGTTTCTATTTATGTCTTGTTTGGATTCATTTTAATTGAAAGAATCTCAACGATTCATTGGTATTATATTCATAAAGATAAGATGAAAATGATTGAAATTAGAATTTTCTTTACTGTACATTTATTTCTTTCAATCGCAGTATATCTTTGAAGTATCGAGGTCGTCAATCGCTACCACTGGTTAATACAAATTAATATTTGCAGAGAGATTATGCATATTTGATCATGTCAGAATAAACTGGTGCTTGTAATTATTGGTGCACCAAAGCATGTAATTTAATAGAATCGGATCTGTCCGTATGATCACAGGCACTTGAAAATAATCCGTAATAGTTTTAAAATCGAGTTATGCAATTTTTAATTTGTCTATAAAAACAAGCATCAGAAGGTTGACAAAGTAGTGTGCATTTCGGTGGTATAATCTATGATCTACATGTTGAACAACTTTTTCATAGATTAACTTCTGATCAGTTTTTTTAGATGCTTTGGTTACGCCACTATAACTTGAAATACAAGTAATATATTAGATTAAAAAAAATTCAGAATGACCTTCAGACATGCCTTATTTAAGACACAAACTTTGGAATTGATATATTTTGTACTTTCTCTATAAAAATTTCACATGTATTGTTTCTTTTGGCCCATCACACTGAAAATATCCCTTAAATATTAAGAAGTACTCAACGAATAAGTCTTAGATTATAGAAAAAATTATTTATTTATAACTTATAAAAAATTGTATTATATATAAAAATAATATTACCGGTTTTTATCTTCTTTTGAATCCGTATTTCTTTCTTTCATAAAATAGGTCTGTCTTTGAACTTCCAAGATTTACAATTTTTGGACAACCGTCTCTCTGAAAAAAAATTTTAATGTATTAGAAATTTTCTATGTATTTATATAAGGAAACTTTTTCATATAAATAATTTTTTGTGTCACTTTACACAAAGGAAGTTAAGAAACTATTAATGAAAAGTCAATATCTTTTCAGATATTTTATTTTTAATATTCAATTTTACTCTAATACTTTGTTAAATTGGAATCATTACTTTTCTATCTTTTTTAATAATAGCTTGCACACATTGTATTGTACATACGAAAACATTTATTATAAATTTAAAAAAATGATATTTTTTCTAAAAAGACTTACATCTTTTTCTTGAATTGTACACTCTTTGCAATAATAAGCATCAGAAACACCAGGTCCACCACAGATAACACATCGTCCTTGATAAGATCCGTAATTACATTCATCACAAATTCTAACAAGAGTACATGGTCTTACATAAGAATCACATATCACGCATTTTCCATCACATTTTTCACATAATCTTCCAATCGCTGAAATTTCATATTCCATATTTATATCAATAAAACAAAAACTACTTTACACATATATTTACATTGAAATAATATATTATGTATGTTCATTATAGTCTTTATAATGAATTATTTTATATAAGTTTATAATATACATATATTGGTCAATTGTCAGCTCAATTAGATAATTTACGATCATAAATAACAGGTATAATATATACTTAGAAAATTAGTTATTAAACTATAGATA